TTCAACAATTGAAGAATCGAAAAGTTCAAAAGAAATTACCTTGGTGCATTCATTGACGCCTATATATCAATCTTAATGAAAAATATTTCAGAATAATGATTTTTCAATCAATAGTTTATTAGTTCCCTCTGTAGATATGTTGACCATTGATTGATAAGGTCGATGTTTGGACAAAAACAAAATAATTTATAAGTTATCAAATACACAGATATGCTCACAAATCACATTGTGAAACAAAATAAGCATGTCATTCGTCAGCTGTTTCTTGTTACCATTCTTCATGTCCTATGTCTTAACTTTGAGGTGGATCTCGGCTATGGCATTAATGGTTGAGAAATAGGGATCAATTCCAGTCATAGTTTTCTCCTGATGATCATAGTGATTTGTTTTCTTTTATTGATTATGACCACGGCTTTTTAAACGGATGTTGACCCTTTGAAACGCATATGGACTATAAATATGTATGACATATTGTGTTGTCCCTTTGGAACGCATGTGGACTATAAATATGTATGACATATTGTGTTGACCCTTTGAAACGCCTATGGACTATAAATATGTATGACATATTGTGTTGACCCTTTGGAACGCCTATGGACTATAAATATGTATGACATATTGTGTTGTCCCTTTGGAACGCCTATGGACTATAAATATGTATGACATATTGTGTTGACCCTTTGGAACGCCTATGGACTATAAATATGTATGACATATTGTGTTGTCCCTTTGGAACGCCTATGGACTATAAATATGTATGACATATTGTGTTGACCCTTTGGAACGCCTATGGACTATAAATTTGAATGACATATTGTGTTGACCCTTTGGAACGCCTATGGACTATAAATATGTATGACACACTGTGTTGACCCTTTGGAACGCCTATGGACTATAAACATGTATGACATATTGTGTTGACCCTTTGGAACGCCTATGGACTATAAACATGTATGACATATTGTGTTGTCCCTTTGGAACGCCTATGGACTATAAATATGTATGACATATTGTGTTGATCCCCGTTGTTTGATCTATAGCATCAAGACTGACTTTTTTGCACGCTTGTGACATTGCGCCTTTTTAAGTACTGTTCATCTCTTACCTTAGAAAAGTATCACTTAAAAACATAAAATACGAGATCAATGTTATCATACCTTGCGTCTTTTAATAAACGATGTATTGTGGTGAAAAATAAGTCTTGCGGATTTTTGAATTTTCTAACAGTACTATTCCCCAATCTACTCGTTTTGTCCGATTTTACGGACGTGTTGTTAAAACATGAATTTGGATTCACATGTTTTTGTAACCAATTGATGTAACATTTCATTCAAAGATTCAGGTTCTCAAGTACTTTGCGTCTTTCTTTGCCAAAGAGGCAAGTTTGTCCATCGAATGCCCACAATAGTTCATCATAAAGGATTGTTGAAATCAAGTGTATAGCAACTCAATTCTCTCTTGAAAGCCCATGGTGACACCTCCCAACCCAGACAGGTAGATTCTTTACAATGGTTTAAAATGAAACCCTTGAATAACGAATGCATATCAATTGAACAAAAATACCCAAAACTATTGAAAAACACAAGTATACAGTTATGGATGTATGAGAAAATACCATTAATATGGTGTAACATAGGTTTGCATGAATTTTGTATTTACAGACAACATTTACTTCTAGATGCTATTTATTTATTACATTATTTAATTAGATGTACTTACTAGGATTTAACACGATTCATATATGTTAAACTAATCTGATGGAATGAATGTCGAATACATTACTCAATCCATTATGAGTTTTCGTCACATCTACACCCTGACTTCCTGAACATTAAATTACACGTCACTTGCTGAGATTGAACTTGTAATAGCAAAATTAATCGGTATCTTATCTACTTTTGAGTTTTAAGCACCTTTATATTGATTAAAGAGAGATGTTATGTTTAAAATATCAAGAATCCGAAGTGTTTAATTGAATTTTTACACAACATAATATAAGCGCATATTTGTATTTCTATTTGTACAGGCATCGAGCTGGATAGCCTACATAGAATTTTCATTTTCTCTCCCTTTATCCTATACCATACTTAGAATTAATAACTCAATAATGTGTTCCTGGATTGTCAAATGATCCTTTAAAAGTGTCAACTTTCTAGGTTTTGAGCTTCATACCCAATTTCTTACACACAATTTCAGTTTTCATTTGTTTTTATTATGTCACCACCATAAGTTGTGACATATTGTTATGGTCTTCGTTTTTCGACGGTGGTTGGCGGTTGGTTGTTACAACTTACAACTTACAATGACTTAATAAATATAAACTAATACTTTTTAGACTGACTTCAATTTTTTTCAAAATCATCTACTAGTTTTCAGAAGTTCAAATCTGACTTTATATTTAAGATTTGACCTTCAATGACCTTTTAAATTGACCATTTTAAAATTGACCAATTTTTTCATATTCATCTACAATTAAAGTTATCAGTAGTTTATATCTGAATTTAGATTTGAAATAAGACCTTCAATGACCTTCACTAGGTCAGAAAAGGTCAAAAAGGTATTTTTTCAACTTGTTTTAAATTGACCAATTGATTTAACTTTCAAAGAGATTCTCTAAGTCAAAAAAAAGATTTCACCTTCAATCACCTTATCAGGTCAAAATGGTCTTTTTTCAACTTGCTTCAAATTTCAAAATCATCTTCAAGTTCTCAGAAATTCAAATCTGAGAAATCTGTTATTGATTAAAAAGTAATTTCGCAATGTATATACACAAAGTATTATATATCACAATTTATTCCATAGTTAGCATGATATTAATAATTCATTGGATAACATGTGAAAATAAAAACGGTATTTTTGTAATCAGTGGTAAAATATGATATTTTTGACAAATTTTCACTTAACCATAGCATACGGTTTTTTAGCCATGACATACGACGTCGTATGCGATGGTTAATGGATTTTTGCTACTTCAGACTCAAAACGAGGCTAAGTGTCAACATCGCCGGATCGTTTGGAAAATTCGAATTAAATGACTTAATTTCCGACAATTCTGATGATGACTTTAACTATGGAATAAAAAGAACATCCTATGATTTACTCGTGATATGATTTTAATCCACTCATTGATATTGATATCTGCACTCTTTCGCTACGCTCACTCGTGTAGATATCATATCCATTCGTGGATAAAAATCATATCACTCATAAATCATAGGATATCCTCTATTTATCCGATGGATACTAAATATATATGGGGATACCAACACAAGATAATTTTCGTATACACCACTAAAATCGTATCCGATCCTGATGACGTGATATCCAATCGTATCCGACGGATACTATTTCAAAACATTTTTTGAAAAAACAAATTTGAAAAATTTGAAATTTTGAAAAAAAATTGATAAAAAAAATCTTGAAAAAAATTGGAAAATAATTTTGAAAAAGAATTGAAAATTAATCTGAAAAAAAAATGTAAATAAAATTAAAGGAATAAAAAAAATTGGAAAAATTGAAAAAATATTTGGAAAAATTTGAAAAGTTCCAAGGTTATATGCTCAGTAAATATGAGTTACATTTTTTCAGGCAATCATTTTATAAAAATAAGGTCACAGAAAATAAAATGAAAAAATAGAATAGAATTAGAAAACAACAACTTTAGGTCAAATTATTTGAAGTCCATACAAACGACCATCGGATAAATATGATATCCTATAATTTTCTCGGCTATCATTTTTATCCACTCTGGGATATCGCCGATCTCCACTCATTCGCTGCGCTCACTCGTGGAGATGAGCGATATCCGCTCATGGATAAAAATGGTATCCCTCAAAAACCATAGGATATCCTCTATGTATCACAAAGTGTATATACCCTAATGCTGAAAACTAGTCAACGCATTATTGCTCTAATCGCTGTAGTATGGGGTCATATTTTGTTAGTGTATAACTGCCTTAATGCCAAGAACTTTGTATTTGTTTGTTTATATTGACTCGGGTTATAATATCTATTATACCTCTCTTAATCATGGTGATTTCTTCGTATCAGCAGAAAATAATTGTTTATTGGTTAATTGATTTATAATTATTTCTAAATATAGTAGATACAACCTTGGGTTAAAATACTCTCATATCCATAAGATTGCACGCCCTCCATTGATATCGAATTAGCATCAAACAACATCACTAGTATTGCACTCTTCAAATTAGATACCGAAACAAATCCATTATGGTTCCACTTCTAGAGGTGTTCCGTATCGGTAGATGAGTTTCGTCTTCAGTAGTTTATAACTAGACTCTGCACTCAGCGTACGTACATGTGGATTTGTGATCAAATGATTATCATTTAAATGATTATGTTTAAGCTACCTGGTCACATACATGAGGATTAGTAATCAAATGATTGTTATTATTTGAATGATTATGTAATGTCACATACATGAGGATTTGTGACAAAATGGCTGCTTCCATTTGATGTGTTGTTGATACATTTATCATTTGAAGTGTTGTACATCCCCAACCCATCAATGAGAATATGTTATCAAATGGCTATTATCATTTGAAGTTTGGTACATCCCCATACATGAGGATTTGTGATCAAATATCCATTATCATTTTAATGATTATGTCTGAACTACATTAATATCAGGTCACATACATGAATATATTTGATCAAATGGCTGTTATAATTTGAAGTGAGATGCAACCCCTTGACAAGTTTAGCAACGGGAAATCACCTTTTGAAATTTCAAATCGTTAAACCTGAAATTTCTTTGCAATATAGGCACGAAATATAGATTCAAACATTAACACACTTTAACATGCAATTCACAATTAAAACTTCCTGTTGCCAAACGTATGAAGGGGAGTGTAACAATAAACCCCGAACCCCGTTATACAATTAAACATAAAATTTTTGAAAAAATACATATCATCTGTATAATATCTGTTTATACATACATTATATACATTATACATTGTAATATTAGTATTGACGTTATCAATTTATCATATGTGCAAGACGATTAGTTGAACAAAAACGCAGCTGAAAAACGGCTAATTAGTAATCAATCAGTTTTTAATGTCACCAAAATCGTATTGCAAAAATTCAAATCAAAGTGGATAAACAGGTAAAATCGAATGTAAATAGTTATACGTTTTTATAAAACCAAACCTCTCCGATTTTAAATAATTATATGTTGCTGTACATCAAATAAATAAAAATATCAAAATGGCAACTTCGTACATAGTTTTTCATCAAGCGTAGCAACTTTGTACATAGTCTGGCATCAAGCCTAGCAACTTCGAACACGCTTCGTCTCCTGTGTGCGGGGGTAATGATCAAGATAATACTCAAATATATCCGCAACTATAATACATCTTAATCAAGCATATGCCCAGTTTTACTACAGTATAAGTATGGACTTCCGTGTTATGAGCAAGTATATTTGCATATATTATTCTGTTCCAGTAAGTGCCCAAGCCGGAAATTCGTCGAACACTCTCCTTGGAATCTTATTCCCACATTATAGTCCACATTTGTTAATAGTAAGTCATACAAGGGCATTATAATTCAAGTACGTGAGTCGGATATGTTGTACTCTTGTAGATGTGGGGTCGTTCAATGTGAAACTAAAAATAAATGAATACGACGTTTAAAACACATTTCAGTGATCCACTTGACGCTTTCTTCTTTCAATGTATTTTATAGGTTTATATATTTGTAACAACGTTAATTAGTTAATATAGTTTTCAATGATCTAAACTAGCAATATTATTTTTAGAAACATGTGTGGTAAGTATCAATGATACATGCCATTTCATTTACTTATCGTTTCAATATATGTTTCTATAGTCTTACATTTTTTAGCGTGTCTGCATAATCGGCGTTTTGTGAGAAGTCATGGTTGTCATAGTGACTATATTGTCTAATAGATTCTGAAAACCTTCCGTTGTCTATATGATGTCCTCTGCTCTCAGATTCGGGAAAGTATCTCTATAAAATATCGAAATGCTCATACGTTAGATGAATAACACTTGAAAAATGTACTGTCATACATGAATCGTGTAAAACACATTTCGCAAAATTTAGTATAATTTTGTAGGTTTAGAAATTGCGAGCATAGCTCGCAGTGATGACATCTTTTAAAGCGAGCTATTTACTTACATTACGAGAGCTTGATCCACCATCAAATCTACCTCTCCCGTCGACGTGATCGTCTGGAGATCCCAGTGTATTGAGGGCAACTATCGGTGCAACTGTGTATACGGGAGGATACAATGAAGACCGTTTCTGTTCGAAATCACCATGACCATACATCTCATTTTGAACTTGCACTGGGTACATAGGACTATAAACACGAGAGAGTATAAAAAGTCAGATTAGATTAGTTCCTGTTGTGTAGTGTGCTTTGTTCTATTGTTTAAATAGTGAGTGTTGTTTAAACAATTTAGTCAAATAAAAAGGTGCCATACTCTGAGACTAAATACGAAATGAGAATACACTTGTAATATCCATTATTTTATATCTAATATATGCAAAACAAAACTATTATGTGTAAATTGTAAGCAAATAATAGTAGAAACCTCTTGTGATTATACATTGTCAAAATATCGTATCCATCTCGTATGAAATGACTTCTAGACTTACTCTGTATTGATGCTCTCGTCTACATGCTGTTTCTTGCGCCTGCGTCTACAAATGAGGCAGACGCAGAGAACAACAATGAGGGCCACAAAGACAGCAATGATGGTGATGACTACTGCGAAGAAAGTTATCCTGTGTACACACCAGTTATTGAAGATTACTAGATTGATGTTAGTTGGTTCATCACATCTGCAATAAAAACGACATTATATTTAGTTTAGCCTATATTATGTTATGTGCTATTTTTCTCTAAGTTGGATGAAGAGTAGGCCCTTTGATATAGTTTTTTGGCCACCGGAACTCCCAATAAGATCACTTATTAAAGGATTTTTGTGTGTTTTAAGATTTAAGAGAAATATCATATGCATAAATTACCGATTTATTATAAATAAGGAACAAAATTAAATACTGGACGAGGAAAACGTTTGATCCAAACTTATGAAGGGGAGTGCATATAAAAAAAGTATGTGCTGAAATGCTTACACACATCCGCTTAAAGGCCCAGAACCCTCAACGTTGTGTCACATACATGAGTGTTATCACAAGGTACCAATGTTGGAGAACATTTGAACATAGAGGGGGAATGTGTATATAAATTGAACATGGAAGAGGAGTGTACATATAAATGTAAAGTATGTGCTGCATTACTTACACACATTCCCCTTGAGGTTCAGCACCCTCGATGTTGATGTCACATATATGAGTGTTATCACAAGGTACCAATGTTGGAGAACATTTGAACATGCACAATACGTTAGTTGAGTTTGTGAAACAAACATAGAATGGCTCGTCTTGACAATAGGTTGGGTTGTTGTCGCATAGGTCATCTATAAATATAAGTACTCGTTCGGTATACTATTTGGTCTATAAATTCATAATCAACAACCGGCGGTTATGATGTGAAATAACAGCTATAGTATAGTCTAAACTAATAAGACATTATATAGGATAATATGAATTCACGCTCAAAAATACTCCTAATGTGCTAGAATGTGCATTACGACCCCATCTTTCCTTCGAAGCATACATACTTTTATCAACCCCATTTCCTATAGAGTCAACACTTTCATTCTTTACATCCACACCATTGATATCGAGATTTTTCAAGCATTCAGTGACATTGTGACGAATAGCTTCCTCCAGGTCAATCCCATTGTTATTTATGTCCTTGGGGTCGTACACTACGTCAAAGTCTAACTTCTGATCGGGGTAGGTGGTTGAGTTCATCAGGCTAAAGTATAATGATATGCAGTTATTTTTTGCAGGAACCAAAATGAGGGACTATTCCATAATATAACACTTCATTTAAAAGATAATAAACTATCAGGATATCATCTTATTGGTCATGATTATGTCGGTAATTATTTAAAGGGATTTAAAGTTAGAATCAGATCTATAGATGGTGACAAAATTACAAGCAACGTGTACATTAGATCTACCAATCTATTCCTTATGATCTCAATAATATATAATATAATATCCCCAAAAGATCCGCGATGTGTTATAATTTGGTTAAGTAAGAAAGGATTTAAAGTGCAAAAATGATGGAAGAGTGTCTAAATTCTCCCAAATAATAAAAATGGTAAACATGGAAATAGAAAAATAATATAAAATCTTAAGTCCTCCTTGAATGAAGTATGCACTCTGGGGATTTTTAGAATATATAGTTGACGAGGAATGTAATGAAAATATTCCAGAATTGAAACAATTTTTGTCTAGCTTATTCGTAAATCTGATTCTCATTTAACCTCGGGACTAACAACTAATATCCTGTTTCTAGATTTTTCCAGACATTTTTCATATGCTGTGCTTTAAAGAATGTTTTCAATCAAAATGGCTTTTCTAAAATACCTTTTTATGTCAATTCTTTTTACTGGAACGCCACTTTCATTAAAGCAGTGAGCAATCTGAAATATAAATAATTTATTTTTCATTCATCATTTTTACGTGCCCGATAAATATTTATGTTAGCACATATCCAAAAGAGGATAAAAATAGCCCAATGGACCATTTTGAAATGTCACATTAAGCATGCTTGTATAAAGAATGCAAGAAAAGAAGAATTCATTTCGAAAGGAAAATGTCTTACCTTTCCTTTTAGTTCTTCCTTTAACGTTTCATCAGTCCTATTGGACTTAAATTCTAAACTGAAATTCATCTTCAGCTCTTTGTCAGCTAAAATAAAATGCAAATGCTTAAAAAACGTTGGGCAATATAATGAAATCAAAGAAAACCCATTTATTTTTTGTAACCTGAATCCTCGCGGTATTAACTTTGACCGAAAAACGTTGCAGTATGAGACTCACAATCCTTGATTTTCAAACACCTGATAGGTCAAAAATTTTAATTAACAGTAGAAATTTTTACCGCGTGGAATCGTAATCTTTAAAATATTACTCACCGGGCTCTATTACTTCAGGAAAGTCTATGGAATTTCTGCTGGTAGTTGGCACATCAGTCTGTTTTGTAGTGACTGGAACTGAGTGGTCTGTAGTAATTGTAATGGATGTTGCTGATTCGGCAGTAGTTTGAGTTGTTTGTGACGTAGTAGTTGGATCAGTTGTTTGTTTCGCAGTAGTTGGATCAGTTGTTTGTGTTGCAGTAGTTAGATCAGTTGTTTGTTCTGAAGTAGTTGGATCAGTTGTTTGTGTCAAAGTAGTTGGATCAGTTGTTTGTATCACAGTACTTTGATCAGTTGTTTGTGCCACAGTAGTTGGATCAGTTGTTTGTGTCGCAGTAGTTGGATCAGTTGTTTGTATCACAGTACTTTGATCAGTTGTTTGTGCCACAGTAGTTGGATCAGTTGTTTGTTTCGCAGTACTTTGATCAGTTGTTTGTGCCACAGTAGTTGGATCAGTTGTTTGTTTCGCAGTACTTTGATCAGTTGTTTGTGCCACAGTAGTTGGATCAGTTGTTTGTGTCGCAGTACTTTGATCAGTTGTTTGTGCCACAGTAGTTGGATCAGTTGTTTGTGTCGCAGTAGTTGGATCAGTTGTTTGTGCCACAGTAGTTGGATCAGTTGTTTGTGTCGCAGTAGTTGGATCAGTTGTTTGTGTTGCAGTAGTTAGATCAGTTGTTTGTGCCGCAGTAGTTGGATCAGTTGTTTGTGTTGCAGTAGTTAGATCAGTTGTTTGTGCCGCAGTAGTTGGATCAGTTGTTTGTGCCGCAGTAGTTGGATCAGTTGTTTGTGCCACAGTAGTTGGATCAGTTGTTTGAGCCACAGTACTTTGATCAGTTGTTTGTGCCACAGTAGTTGGATCAGTTGTCAGGTCAGTTGTAACTACAGTTAAGACAACATGTGCCGAATATTATCTTTTATTTATTTAGGTGCCAAATGTTGATGTAAAAAGAAAAGGAAACTTATACATCTGATTATTTTCAGACCTAATATATTAGAAACTGTTACTTATTAATGATCATTTATCAATTACTTATAAATGATTAATGATCATATGCAATATATATACAAGACAGTGTTTAAATATAAATTCAACATTTTGATGATTCTCTTCGATATATGTATGGATATTCAAGTGAAATTCTACAAGAGAATAGCCGTTGACGTCAAGGACATAGCTTTTGTTATAAGATTAAAGCATTATATGTTATTACGTAGAAAGCTAAAACGTGCGTTGGCAAAGCTGTAGTGTGTTAGACATGATAATTGCAAGATGAACTATTGTGAGAAAATGGTACAAATGGTATGGATGTGCACTACAACTAACTATGACATAACATGTACATATAAAGCAATATATTTATATAATATAATTCATCATAGTATTCATCAAAACGTACGTCTATTTATATACTATTTGTACAGCCATTTATCTAAGAATTTTAACTCATTATTACAAGTAGAAATCGCTAAGACTAAGAAGAGGTTAACTAGCCATTTTGTTATTCAAATAGGAAGGTATAGGGTGTATATAGTTTACTTGATTCAATTATTTCTTTATGATAAACGGTAAACTGGTAATCTATTACATTGTCTGTGGATGCAATTGTATAGAATGTGTATAGTCGCGGTTTGCAGATCGTACCTGGATCTGTTGTTGCTGAATCAGTTGTCAGTGTGTAATTGGAGGGATGAAAACACCAGGGTACATTGGGAACTGTATTATCGAAGCAGCAATATCTGTTCCAGCAATCAAATTCATCCCCACCTGGTCCAGCACAGTTTATTCGATCTGATCCATTAATCACACAGATCGATAGGTTAGTAAATATGCCTGGAGCTTCGGTGCGATCATCTATTGTTGTAGTAGCTGTAGCTGTGGTTGAGGTTTCAATATCTATAGTTTCGTTTGTTTCCACAGATGTCATAATGATAGTTGTGACATCAAGTGACATGGAGGCATCGTGAAACGGTAATGTGGCATTAAGCTGTGGCGTTGTGGTATTGCCATACGGAGTGGTGACATCAAGTGACACTGTTACATTATTAAAGGGTATTGTGACATTAAGTGGCAATGCGGTATTACCATATGTTGCAGTGACATCAAGTAATACTGTCGCATTGTCAAAGGGTAATGTGACATTGAGTGGCAGTGTGGTATTGTCAAAGGGTATTGTGACATTAGGTCGCATAGTAGTATTGCTATATGTTGAAGTGACATCAAGTGATACTGTCGCATTATCAAATGGAATTGTGACATTAAGTAGCTTTGTGGTATTGCCATATGTTGTAGTGATATCTAGTGACACTGTCGCATTGTCAAAGGGTAATGTGACATTGAGTGGCAGTGTGGTATTGTCAAATGGTATTGTGACATTAAGTAGCTTTGTGGTATTGTCATATGTTGAAGTGATATCAAGTGACACTGTCGCATTGTCAAAGGGTAATGTGACATTGAGTGGCAGTGTGGTATTGTCAAAGGGTATTGTGACATTAGGTCGCATAGTAGTATTGCTATATGTTGTAGTGACATCAAGTGACACTGTCGCATTGTCAAATGGTAATGTGACATTAGGTGACATTGTGGTATTGTCATACAGAGTGATGACATCAAGTGACGCTGTCGCATTGTCAAAGGGTAATGTGACATTGAGTGGCAGTGTGGTATTGTCAAATGGTATTGTGACATTAGGTCGCATAGTGGTATTACTATATGGTGTAGTGACATCAAGGTACACTGTCGCATTGTCAAACGGTAATGTGACATTGAGTGACAGAGTGGTATTTTCAAAGGGTATTGTGACATTAGGTCGCATAGTAGTATTGCTATATGTTGTAGTGACATTAAGTGACACTGTCACCTTGTAAAGGGGTAAAGTGACATTGCGTGGCAGTGTGGTATTGTCATATAGGGCAGTGCCGTCAAGTGACACTGTCACATTGTCAAAGGGTATCGTGACATTAAGTGGTATCGTTGTATTGTCAAAGGGTGTTGTAACATCAGATGATACTGTGACATTCTCAATCAGTGTTGTGACATTTAGTGGCAGTGTGGTATTATTATATGGTGCAGTGACATCAAGTGACACTGTGCCATTGTTAATCTCTGTTGTGACATCAGGTGATGTTGCATTGTCAGACGTTGACAAATATAACGACGTTAGTGAAATGTTGACTGGCGACTCAGTTGTATCAGTTGTGTTTGATATAGTACTGTTCATATTTCCAAGTTTAAGAAAATATTCTTCATTTTCGCTGTCCTTAAGAAAACGTTGGTTTATATCAATATTTGTATTAGAGTCTGTAATTGGTCCAATGTCAATTTTACCTGTATACGAGATAGTTGAAAGTGTTGTTTCCTCTGATGTAGGTGGCCAAGCTGCTGTAGCCATTTCTAGTTGTGAAAGAATATTAGTTGAATGTTATCAATCTATTTGTTGTGTCATTTCATAATTTATGAGTTACACTATATACTAGAACACAAGGGAAATAATGAAAATACTCAGTATTATCGGGTGGGCATAAAAATGGGTCTGTATACTGCTAACTTTGGAACTCTCTCATGTCCACTTGTCCACCATCATATTCTTAATATGCAGACCAAACAGTTCATGGGACCCAAATCGATAAAAATCAAAAGTCAAAAACGCATGTTCCGAAAATTTCAAAATGACATATTTTCGAGTTTCACTTACACCCCAGTCACATTTCCTACGGCGACCTTGCGGTCTATCATTTTTGCGGCTAGTAGCTTTTCTACGCTCGCTGCAGAATTTCTGCACTCTCATACTTTTGCACATTTCCCACGGCAGCCGCACGGTGAATTTTAAATTTATATTGATAAATAATAGTTTTTTTCATTTTATTTACATCAGGACAATTTATAAATGTTATTCAAAGTGCTAGGATGTAATATCAAATGAAAAGTGATCGTGAAACATTGACAAATAATGATTCAATCTTGTTGAGCCAGTTGATTTCTACGGGGACCTCAGAAATGAACAAATATTATAACTCCGAGTTATAATTTCTACGCCTTCCCTGCGGCCTGTAAAAATCTGCATACGCCGTACGGAGGCCGCAAGGCGAGCGTAGTTTTTCTACGCTCGCCGCAGAAATTCACCGATTTAATTGTTCTGCGGTCGACTTGCGGCCGCCGTGCGACAAATGTGACTGGGGTGTTAAATATATGGTCAATTGGTCCTCAATCTTCTCGTAAGATGTTGCACAAATGTTATATTCATGAACTGCCTGAGTCTTTAACTGATTTAGTCTCCTTAGGAGTAAGTTTTCTCCAGCAGATGAATCTTCACAAGAATGGCACGCTTTCGTTTGCAATAAACGCGATCATCTGTCGTTCGCACACAAGCTCAAATGGAAAGTCTTTTTTGTCCATGACGCCAACTTTCTTCACATTCTCTATCAAAACAGCATCATAAACTTATCACAAACATTTCTGAAGCATGTTTTTCTATTCTGTCTTTGGGAGCAAACAGTTTTTGTTTGTACACTGCATGGTTTCAAATTCCTTTTTACAGAACATGTCCTTTCAACTTTCTGATAACATTGTTTATCCCGGAATTCTTTGGCATTTTCTTCCATATGCAACCATTTCCATTGAAACATGTTGCAATCAATCCTTGTTTGCCGAAGAGAAAAACTTATTGATTCAGCCAAACCTATGCCAATCTGGCAGAAGAGTTTCTTCGCAGACAATTTTCCAGACAACACTTGATTAGTGTGTATCACATGGAAGAAGCGTGTGCTCCATTCGTTTTTGAGACTAGGCTTTCATTTTAATCCTTTGTACCGATTACTCAATCTATGAGTCCTATGACCTTGTCAGTATACATGTATTGAAAACATCATGCCATTTTAATGTCTTAAGTTTAAAAGGGTTTGAAGAAAGGATAATGGAGCGACGTAGCATCAAAGTACGGCCCATTTTTTATGCCCACCCGATATATGTCTATCATTTTAACATTTTAACACATATCTGATTCATTATATATTTCGATTGTTAACATGTAATTATCATAATGAATGGATGAAATTGTCATTCTCATTCTAAGCAGGAAATGCGTATGGCGCACGTGTATTAATGTATATGATACTAGAAACACATGCGCATGTCGTTACCTGTTGCATTGCTTGGATGGAAACACCATGGTACATCAAGCACCGTGTTGTCAAAGCAGCAGAAAGAGTTCCAACATTCTGTTTCATTGATTCCATTTCTTCCACAATCGAGTCTCATGGATGATGGAAATATACATATGGACAGATTTGTAAAAGTCACATCGGCTATAATGGACCTTTTCACTCGGTTGTGTATACCATCACCAGTACTACTGCTATGTGCAACGACACTACTGTTATGTTCCTCTACACTATTGCTGTGATCATCTACACTACTGTGTAAAGCTATGGGTGTTGTGAGGAAGCACAAAGGTGAACATAAATAAACATATAATAACTAGGACTATTCTAAACTATAACATAACAAGACACGGGGTGAACAATATCGTACCTTAAACACAGCAATGTGGGCATGATGGCCCGGAAAGCAAGATGGCCGCCAAAAAGTTAATCATTTCTAGAACTTTTTTCCATGTAGCATGTGTAAAAAATTAGCAAATCCGTTAAGTGGTTTTCCTGGAATCGCTAAAAAAAGGCTAAAAGTATGCAAGATGGCTGCCGAAAGGTTATCAGCTCTAAAACTTCTTACCATGTAACATGTGTGAAAATGTGAAGTAAGTCCGTCAATTGGTTATCCTAGAATCGTGACAAGATTTCCAAGATGGCCACCAGAATGCAAGATGGCCGCTAAAAGTTAATAAGCTCTAGAACTTCTTACCATGAATAATGTGTGAAAATTTTAAACAAATTCATTGAGTGGTTTTCGTGTTATCAAGATGATTAGATTTATCTAAATACTTCCTAGATGGCTGTCAGAATGCAAGATGGCCGCAGAAAAGTTAATCAGCTCTACAACTTCTTAGCATGTAATATGTGTGGAAATTCGAAGTAAATCCGTCCAGTGGTTTTCCTCGAATCGTGATGACAAGAAAGTGAGACGCCGCCCGCCCGCCGCCCGCCCGTCAAGCTGACGACAATATCGTAACTTATTTTAGGTACGATAAAAACAATACTTCGGTGGAGTGCAATAATTCGTTGCATTAGGTTTAATAAATGACAGTCCTACCTCAAGCCGTTACAGCCCTCCCTTACCACCTGTGGAGGTGAATTAGATTCTAGACCTGATGTAAGACTGTTTGGTGTAACACATATACATATTAAGGGTTATAGCAGCGTGGGCCAAAGACTAACAAAATAATTGTATATTTCAACATATACTTCATGAACATGCTATTTAATCATTGGAAAAACTTATAATAGCAAAGTACAAAATTTACGATATTCGATGTTTTTGTATTCGTAGCTTTGTTCAACTCTGCTTGTGCAACCCTACTCCATATACGTTTGCTTAGTAGACATACATTTAGTAATCAAATGGATTTTGCAGGGAAATATATTGTTAGTAAAGCAGGGTTAGTAATTTCATAATGACATGGGTGTAACGGGGAAAGTGGACATTACAATACTCAACAAACAGTATAACCTTGGGATAAAAAGCATACTGAAACCTTATCACAAAAACAATCAAAACATTTCGAAATAAAACGCCTGTTTATATAAATTGGATAAATCTTGCGTCAATTCCTCGCTACCCTCCCCCGAACCTTCACCTCTATATTGGACGTCGTAAGTGGAAGTGAACAAGGATTTGATTCAAGACTAAACTGTACTGTTTTTGTGCCACCTACCTGTAGTTTGCAGTGTTGTAGCTCTCTCTGGTAAAAATGAAAATATAAAATAGTACAGTAGTAGAAAACAATCATTATTTTATTAAAGTTACTATGTTGGTACAAACAGTGTAATGTCTCACGCTGTATTAATACGGGACACTAAGGAATGACAATATTCGTCCTAAGGCTTGAATATACCAATAAAACTTGAAATCGTCAAGAAAAAGAAGTCTGACAGGATGACCTTTGACATCAAAAGAACTTGGCAGAAACTTAAATTTCACCTTTGAGTTTTAGTTGTAGGTCGACGTAAATTACAGAATTAAATTGTTCGGAGAAAGACAAAAAACTGTTACAAAACAGATTTATAAAACTATGGAACATTTCGTTAAATGGTTACTTGAACAAGTCTAACTCGTGAGCCTTTGAATCAAGATTAGATTCTAATTCTGACACGTTCACCCCTTAAACGTTTGGTCTTCATGCCTAATAAAATCGTGTCATTGTTTTTTTTTCGTTAGAGTAGTTCTTCGATGACTTGTGTTGTAGAGTTGTGAGACAAGGCTTCTCATTTCGCTTGTCAATTCAAATGAATTTTCAGGAACTATAATTATGTTTTTATATACATTTACACTAAGTTTGAATATGAGGAAAATAAGACTCCACCAAAGAGGACCTAGGAGAGCATCTTTTCATAGCGTTTTTTAACATTAATAGCATCTTATGAGGTCCGGATTTTATTTCTGACTTAGATTATATGATGTTAATAAAACCCCACCCAAGTGTAAACATACATTTAGCCAAATTGAGGGCAAATATATTAAAAGTACAATTCCTGGAAATTCCATGAGAATATATTATACATAGTATGTCACTGTTTATTTAAGTATATTAGTGAACAGTGATATATTTTGTGTACCTGTTACGTTGAAGCACCATTTAACACCTCCAATAGTGCTATTATAACAGCAACCACTTGATATACATGCTTCTTCTTTTACTCCCGGGGCACCACAATCTACCCGATCCTCCGGGACCACTAGATCACATAGTGCAGGGTTCGCTGTGGGCAACACTGTTGCTTCTAAAACGAGATAATTGTCGTTTCTCAAGTAAAAAACAAGTTTTAAAGTAGAATTACATGGTTATGTCTGTGGCATCTTGTCATCATATTCATTGGCTTAATGGAATATGGTCATCATGTCCAAAAACGATTAGTCGGTGCTATATAAAAGTGAAAGTTATCACGGCAGACAACAGCATTTGCTACAGTTGTGTATTATAAATAAATACTATCCGGTGAAAATATATCATTTGCTTTATCACACATTATATTCAAATTATACACTTTATGTTACACATGAAAGCTAGATTTTAACATTATATATAAATTCATACCTGAAGAAACAGGTCTCGATACATGTAGATAGGTTATAACTGCAAAATAAAAAAATATCAAAATAATTTGTATAATAGCGTTGTGAGATGTAAGAGTATGTATTTGTTGACATATTGACAGTTTTCGTGCAGTGATGAGAAAAATTAACATTAAAAAAGAAAGATTTCGCAACCACACTTATAGCGTGTTTATAAATCCCTTATGTATATAACGTTTGTGAATTATTTCATTACTTGTCGCGCAACTCCACATTTATTATACGGAGCCGTCACTTATAAAACGATGTTTAATGTCCATGATCCCTCTCCCAATAAAATATCACAACAAATAACAAAACTAGGCGTGTGCGGTTGGTTATAAGGCAGAAGCTTGTCTGTTAGACTGGCCATGGTCATCGCCGGGAGGGGTAAAAGTGTGAACTTCGCGATCCCCGGGGTTACGATGGTCAGTCTAAGACGCTGCGTTTTTACAAAACCCATTTACGCAACTCGACAGCCCCCAAAACCGCCAAACTGCTGTTTATAAGTTCAATACTTATCTTGTTTAGACATAGTTGATGATCATCAATCATAGTGATATTTGGTTTGAAGTCATATTACTATCTAATTAACCTGATGAACAATGAATGAATTTGGTGGATAAAACGATTTATTCTTGGTGAAAAGAACATTTGATTTTTTTGCGAAACGGCAAACTTCAATTCACTTGTACTTATAACGTATAGCTATACGCATAAACATAAGTTATGCTTTCACGTATGAGCACAATCTCTCTAATATATAATTTCCAAATAAATTTTATTTACATTTCGAAGCCATTTGGCTCATTCATGAATAATCATTATCAAAATTGCAATGGACATTCATATTGTCCAGAGTGTGTGTTTGAACTGAAATACACTCCTTTAAAGTGCCAAATCTACATACTTGCTAAACATAGAACTGCCCGTTGTCCGCAAAAATCTCCAATCATTTTGATGAATGGCTTGTCTTCTTATCTGAAACAAAAAGTTCAAGATTCATAAGTGATTACAAACAAATGAATTCCTAAACAAATTAGCTCTTTGTATGATTAGTTTTAGCTACTGTTTGTCAAGAGCTGCTGGACGAAAGTGGAGTGTTGAAGAAAATGACAAAATTAAAATCTAAAGAGGCCCATAGCAATCAATCATAGTATGGTCATCAAGTCTGTTCTTAAGGCAAGGACGGGCGATCATCAAAAGTGTTATCAAACTATAACACCTATAACACAACATCAATGCGTATTATATTTGATCGTGAATTTTTGTCATACTCAGAGTCCAATCCTGATTCTCATACATTTACCCTACAGCACATTGCTCTACTCTTCGTGATACCCATGTAGTATGCAATCACGGGGCAGGTGAGGCATCTGAAAACCGGGTTCATCCATACACCTTTTTTCAGATAGGACTAGAAATTAAGTCCAGTTGTATATTATGGCTATATCGCCTTGCCTATCCCCGGTGCTGTCGTAAGGGTATTGTATACGGCTCTGATAAATATTTAAAATATAGCATTTCAAAATGCTGACATTTAAGTCTTACCTATCAAGGTATAAAATGTTTCTGAAATTATTGCTAGGGCTTTTTGATATTTATAAGGGTATTGAATTTGTTTTGCAACCAACTTCTTTGAGAATCATGACGTAAACCGTTGTTTACAACTCATCACTTTAAGACAATCCAATGAGTATGCTCAATAAATTATTTCAAGTATTTCTCGCACTAATCATGACTTCAACACTTCAAGCAGCATTTGACGAATCTATTCACAAGATATCTGTGTATCAATTATATTGTTGTGTCGACTCATAAGAAAACACACGTTAAGACCACATTAACCTTTTGACAGCCCAGAGTAACGGCATTCGATTACAAAGTTTTTCAATGATATGAAACTTTGAAAGTTTGTTCAATTTACATAATTTATGTATAAAAAATATGATTAGAGTTTCTCAATTACTGCAACCAGAATTTGCATCAAATAGTGTGAATAAAAATGGCAAAACTTGGAAAATTTAGAAATGCTCTGGTATTCAAGAGGTTAAATTGAACTAACTTGTAATAGTTATGTTCTTCAAGATAACATGGACGTCGAGTGGTTGAGTGACGACCATATTGCGTCCAAATGAGTTGTTTTTAAAAATTAACACAAACACTAAATTTTGGATACAATTATTGTGTTTTTCATCAGCACCTTTTATCACAAGGTCAGTTTGTTTGTACCGAGGTTTAGTAATATTCGTCCCAGATTTGTGTGGTACAAACTCGCCCTATAGATTATTAAAACAGATTTCTTTATGGAATTGATGTTCTGTTCTTATCGTAGGATTTTAGAATTTAATGATCGTTTGTCACGTATGTAACTTCTCATATGAGCCTTGTTGAAATATATATCATGAACAACTGTTCGTTTTTAGCTCTATGTGAATATTAATGAGTGGATATTATGGAAGTACATGTATGCTTAGCGGGGACATATTAAGTATTTTGTTTGCATTAAATATAAAACTAGCGAAATAATAGAAAGGGCCTACACAAATGAAATGTAGCCTCTAACCGAAGAACAATAGCAAGAACAAAGTTAACAATGATCCTTTTTGTTTTTAAAGCAAATGTAACGATTATTTTTATAAATACTCATTACCCTTTATCTTTTAAGATCTAAAAATGGAGATCAATATATATTCAATATATATATTCTAGATTTTAAGAGGCGACACTTTTACTTTAACTTTGTCATGATTATAAATATATATACACAAGCCAAACGGAAAGGAACAAAAATTGTTACAGGACACAACAAGACAAGGAAAACATTTGAGAGTACACCCATCATAATGCAAATCACCAACTATCACAGACCATGATTTACAGCGTAAATCACCCATAATTCAAGTTGATAACGCCAAGGAACATTCTATTCATACTGAGTGACTACAATACTAGAGATAGTAGTTAAAAATAATTAAGATATGACCATCATATAATACGAAACGGAAAAAAATGTAAGCAGCAAATGAAATCACAATGGACTCTGAATATCTAGCAGCAATGCCCAAAAGTATGATATCATTGAGCATAGTGTGTTTTATTTAAAGGACCCGTGCAAAGTTTAAAAGCCCAATGTTATATCATCATTTCCGATTTCCTATAACCCTTTTAAACTTATTTTGAAAAAAGTGAAGGTATTTCGAATTTCTTAATTCGGCTCTTTTAATATGATACTTTTCTTTACTTTGGCAAAACACATTTTCCTAAACTCCATTAAATAGACAAGGTACGCGTACAATGGTAAGGATCTAGACAGCAAGTACCATTAGTTTCAATAAGACTAGGACTATTTTCCGGGGTATTTTCAAAGAATCGTTTGCACTTTGGATCGATTTTTCATGTGCTTATTTTTGATACCTTTAAACAATAACATTTTGAACAAAAATAGTCTAAACAAACACTTTGAATTCACACATTAGATTTGAATTAAAATTGAGTAAGACTTCAATATAAGTAAAAGTGATTTCGGGTTTCACGGGGCCTTTAAAGTAAATTACGTTCACACCGATGGGGACTTTATATGAGGGAGGGACGTGTTAAAAGTTTATCTCAAATTGATTATAAATGTCCAGTGGCTCTCTAGATTATAGTTTTACTTTCAATTCGGTATGTTTTATCGCAAAAGTTAAACAGTGCGTCATTAAGTCTGTCAAAATGAATGATGGTGATTATATTGCTGTAGTACCAAGAACGCCATTGTAACAAATAAATAAACCTAATGTAATATCCTAATAATTGAAGACTTGCGTAATTTTATATCAATTTAATGTTTAGTGAATATGGTTTATTAACATGCTAAGCGAAGCGAATAAGAACGATGAGCAAAAATGAAATCATTCGCACACGTATATGATTGATATTGGAGACGTTAAGCTAACGATGTTTTCACAAAGTAACCGTGAACGCACGTATATCATACATGCTTTAGCTCCAAATATCTTACGAAACGAGCTTGTTTAAAATATGTATCACAGAAAACCAATTATATGCTTTTCAATGGCATATTACACGATTGTTTTTTGCGTATGTGAGAAAACTGCATGCATTTGAATAGGACGATTTATGCGTACAGGTTGACGTTCCGATTTTGTATGCATTTTTAGGGTCTCCACTGACTGCTACATAACTAAAATACACACTTTCATTATTTCGTTTTAAAGTACATCAACTCAACGTTACTAGATTTTGGACCAAACTAGAGGTGCGAGATTTCATAGAAACATGTCTTAATACTGTATTCCCATTTCACTGTTATTCACATAATCCTGGAATAATATGTAAATTATACACAAACTTTAAAAAGACTGTGCTTGGATTGAAATAAAGTTTTGTATTCGTATTGGTCATAAATAACGTAACGTTAATCATTTTAAAATTAGAAAATCGTTATTATAAAAAATAAAAATCCACCAACCTAATCGCCGACTGTATTTTAAACAGATTAATCCCAGACGTAATATCCACTTTGATAGCTGTCAATTAAGGTGAGAGTCTCTAAGATGTTGCTATCTTAGATATATTATAAGTGGAGGGAAGGTTTTAACCTATTGACACAAACTCGTTCTTTATTGACATATCTACGCTTCTTTCAAAAAGTGGTGGAATTTAGATAAGATGTATGCACTCTAAAATTGACTTTCCCATTAAATTGTTTACAACCAAATATCTCATTTTTGTTTTGATGAAACGTTATTATTTTAATATAAATAAGATACTAAAGGAGGGGGTGTTTCTGCCAAACCCTGTTTATCTTTAACTCACTTTTTTATCAATAGATGGGGAGATTGAGATTTGATTCGAAACTTACTAAGGCCGACAATATCCATATGGGGTTTTCATATGGATCTATCGTGGAACTTATCTCTAAATTAAAGTGTTTCACATCACTGAGGCGATACATTTCCACTTGTCACAATAGCCAAGGTGGTGCAACTTCATAATAGGAAAGAGCGACAGACCTCCACATTCCCTATACTTTAGTAATAGACTTGTCATGATAGACAAAAGAAATATGCGTAATTTCCCGTATCCCCTTTCTGCAATTCTACAAAACTATTACCATTTATCTCACGAGAATATTTTGCCTGTGGTGTATTCAACTCAAAGTAAAAGAAGTACATTTGAACTGACTAAGAACAAATGCAAACATAATTAAGCAATAAACAGTTAGGCGGTGCTAATTACAAATCAACTTGTCCTTTAGATAGTGGAACACCCAAACTTGAAAATCAACAGAACAATCTCCTTCAGATATAGTGGTTTAACAAATAAGAAAATCTACAAGATTTCATCCAAAGACAAACAAAATAAAGATTTGAATAATGGAATCTTTCGATAATCGATATATACATATCAATCTGAGTTGTTATCTTATTTTTACGATCAAATTAGTTTAACTCAATAGAAGATAAACAAGGTGTATCAAAAATGCAACCCACTTACCCAGCAATGCATATCTTTTTAACCAATAAAGTTTGAAAATTTCTAATGACATT